CGAGCAAATTCACAAAAATATACGCACTGAATTGTATTCCTTTGGCTGCCCACTGCTGTGGCTTGCTCGCTTTGCTGGCTAGCTGATTTTAATTTGAATTTTGAAACAAAACATTTAGCCAAATCACCTCATCACCCCAGCGTCCCAGACACCTTCAATGCCGTAGCCCACTACTTAATGAGCAATCGCGCGTCGTGCCGCTGCTGCTATAGCCCGTCATACTACAAATACATATTTCCAAGCATACAAACGAGTGCAAGCTTCCCCATGTAAGTGATTTTATAAACATCTTACTTGAAACATATGTACATTAGGGTGGCCCTTATTTCGAAGAGAGCTCGGATTCTCGGTCTCACTCCATAGAAATGTGTGAATAGCCTAAAGACTAAACTATACAAAACTTTAGGTCAATCATAAAAGATTTGAAGGTGGCTCAAAGTTTCCCATGTATTGCATTTTTTAGGGGTGTTAGGGGAACCATAAAAAATTGTTAATATTAATAAATATTTGGTTATTTTTTCTGGACGTCTCCTGAAGAGAAAAAGAGTTTGGCGATTGAAAAATATTGATTTACAAGGATTCTATACCATTTCTACGAAAAATTGTTTTTTCCCGATAAAAAATATGTACATGGGAAACTTTGAGCGCTTTGAACCACCTCTAAATCTTTTTTGATAGACCTAAAACTTTGTATACTTTAGTCTTTAGGCTATTCACACATTTCCAGGTGGTGAGACCGAGAATCCAAACACTTTTATTTTTCGCCATCCTAATGTACATGCATAATAGGTATGCTGCGAATGTGGAATTTTAGACATCCGCGGTTGCGAATGTCAAGTATTTTTATTTTTACGTAAGTAAGTTATTTTATTTACCACTTGAATTAAAAAATAGGAGCTTTACATTTATTAACAAGTAATTTTTAAGCAATCCAATGATCGGATCTAAACCCGATCAGTATGGGACCACCTCTGAGACACTACCTTTCCGATGCAAAACGAATTTTCGAAATAGGTTTACGTGGTCCAAAGTCAGTCATATAAAAAGTCAAAGTCATAACAAAAAAATATATTCCGACGAATTGTTAACCTCTTCCTTCTTTTGATGTCGGTTAAAAAGTAATGTTGCTGACTTTTCAGTTTTTAGCCTGTTTCATAAAGGGTCGTAAAAAACCTATACAACTAAATAACCAAATTACAGCTCGCTCGGGATATTTGCTAGTGGAGGCGACAAAAATCTGCGTGCGAAACTTGGCAATATATTAAATTCGTTTCGATTGACGATCCACCAGTTGGGAGGACTTTCAGTTATATTTATTCTTTTCTCTTGAGGAATCTATCCTCACGGCAAGATCGCTCTACAAACACCGCTTACTAGAGCTGTCAAACTATCGACGATGCTATCGATAGTATCGATAGTCTGGTCACATGAAATAACTATCGATAGTTCTGGTACTATCGCCACTATCGTTTCATTAATAGCGTATTCTCTTTCCTAGCGCTTTTCACATTTGCACGTATTGGTTCAAAGAGAACAAAACTTGGCAGCATTATTTCATTAACGTACGAATAAAGATCATCCAGGACGGAGTGCGAGAAAAAAGTATTTTTTTTGCAGTGACGTAATTTTTTCGCCGCCATGTGAATGAAACGGAATGAAACCATGTGCGTGAATGAAACAACCGACTAAAAAATGACGTTATCAACTATTATTTTTTTTCTCAAATGCAATTACAAATACATGGTTCTGGTGCTGGGTGATCTATTTAGTTGGTTCATGGCATTATTTCTAAAAGCGCCATTTTTTATTTTAACCGTGGAAATACCAGAAATTACATTGCCGTCTTAAGAGCGTGTCAGACGTGGCAATTCAATATATTTCAAAAGACTCTCAAATTGAGAAATTTCAGAAAGCAGTTGCATGAACAGTGGCACCTTGCATGTAAGTGTGTATATTTCGAAAGAAAATTTCTTTATTTCCGAAAGGCGAATCGCAGGGAGAATTTAAGAAATCGCTTTTAGGATTTTTACACGGCGAATGATTTCTAGCAATATTTCTCGATACTAAAATGCAACCGTGAGCCGCTAAAATAAACAAATTTATAAAGCAATATAACGAAAAATAAATGAATTTAGAAAAACATATGAAATGGGTCGATACTATCGATAGTCACCCTTAAGACTATCGTAAAACATCGATGGACTTGACTATCGATATTTTGACAGCTCTACCGCTTACTAGCCGAACTAGATTTTTCAGGTTTATCTAAACCTTTTTTCCAAAGAATTACTCATTCTCATTCGGTCGGCTCAGAATCTCGCGATTTTATTTAAAAGGCATCCAGTTTTTATAACCTTATTCAAGAGGTTTTAATAGCTCGACACAAGATTCCATAATTTTCCAGCCCACTGGAAAAATGAGGTCCATGTCTCTGTCGTTAACATAAAGTCTCAACGCATC